TTAATTCAGTTGTGAACACACCGTGACACAGTTAACTTTGCCGTGTGTGCATAGCATAGCACAATAGAGCTCTGAAAACATAATGTAATTGCTATATCTCAGGTTTTGAAGCTCGGACTGAAATTGAAGTCCCAAATATCCACCGCAATGATCTAGTTTAATATCTTTATTTATTTACTTGCAGATGTGTCTACGTTTTATTTTTTGATTTGTACATTTATGCACTTTTATGATCATTGCATCATTGTGTATTTTACATATATCTATGGAGGATATCAATAACATTTACAAAGCCTGAAAGCATTTAAAGCCTGGCAAATAAAGTACATTTACTATCATGTGGTGCTTTGTACATTACGCAAGTTGTTACATCACATAACTCCATGCTTCAATATTTTCCATTGCGTAATCAGAGACACAATGGCAAGTGTTTCAAAGATTAGCGTGTTAGCCAGACAGATTAAAGGTTGCCTTTCCTGCTGTTTCCCTATAGGAACCAATTTGCTTAGAACTAGCTGTTTGTGTTGACAATGCTAGCTTTCATGGCAGTGAAGAGCATACTGTAGGTAGATGCATCGTGTTTCCCAGACTCATTTGAATCTAGGCAGTGCTGTTGTTGAGATGAAACGACGTTTCAGTGTTGATGGTTCATTTTTTTGTTCCTGTCTGCTCTCTGTCACAACACAAGGGTCAGTTCCTGCTGAAAGCTGATGTTCCACTTCCTCTTCTGGTCCTGAGCTTCCTGCTATGGAGAGACAGGAAGCTCAATTGTGGCCCATATGATGTCTTGCTCAATATGAGAATTAAAGCGGATGTTGTTGTGACGATGAGCATCAATGTATCCATCTTTATAGTATGGGGGTTATAGCCGTTTTAATGACCCCCACTGTGACCATAACCTTTATTCCCATGGTTACTTCAGCTGGTTAGTGTTCAGCTGAAGGTGGTGAGATTTATTGCTACAACTGCAGAGCGCAGACCCCGGCACGTCTCACATTCTTGGTAGAGTCTTCCGAGTGAAGCTGTCAGACATCCAGGTCATAATACGGCAGGATTTCAGTTTCTCAGCTGGCCCTAGCCGTCAAGTTGGAGGAGCCCTTGCAGAATCCTTGGATCTGAACACACACGCCCACCCAACTCTTCTTCAAACACACCCAAATTTGCTATGTGGGGAACTCTTTTAGTCAGCCCAGCCTGTTCCTCAGCAGCTGAGCACTCAGTCTGCTCAGCCCCCCGCAGTGTTTGTTCAGGGGGAGTATACTCCTGGGCAAGTTTTTGTTTGAAGGGTAACATAATATTACAATAGCCCATTTTCAGCTAATGCTTATTGTTTGTCAATTCACAGTTCCTCCTGCTGCTGCTTGGGTAAACGTAAGTGATACTTCTAGAGGCAATTGTGTGTTTTGTTTTTCTATTTTCTTACCATTGGACTCCAAGAAAAGGGGTTTGGTACATTTCAAACCTCTACTGATCAAGCTTATCCTTGCTGGAAATGAAATACTCTGTAAACTCTTTAGCCCTTAATCAGCCGGTCAGTGGGTCCACCAACTATTGGACGGATCGTCCCTGGTGGAAATATCTCTCTGACCTTAGTGATCCTTTGGCGTCATAATGAGGATGACTACATGTTTTTGAGGGAAATATATTAATAAAAAACCTTTTGATGGATTGCCATGAGATCTATTGTATGCAAGGTCCTTTAAGGACAAATGTGATCCTCTGACTCTTCATCTAGCACTATTATGAGATTTCGTTTTGAATGTTGTCCAGTTCTTTGTTTTAAAGCTCAAAACAAATTAATTTCCTAGCTCTACTGACATTTTTAGCATACAAAACTTAAATAATTATTCCAAAACATCAGCATTCTCACTGTGAGCATTTTAGCAAGCTGATGTTGGCATCGAGCTACAACTAAGTAAGTGCAGCCTCACAGAGCTGCTAGCGAAGACTCTCAGTCTTATTGAGTTGTATTGAATTAGTTGCCTGGCGACTTCAGCTCGCAGAAAATTCAGCTAAGAAGAAGAATCGGAAGGGCCTCCAGAGCGCTCCGTCATTAAGATAGATAGTTCTGTTTCTAGTTAGGACCCCCGCCTTCCATCAGTCACCAGCGCTCTGAAGGCAAATACTTGGCACACATCTTACAGCAAACACTCGGGATCTACCAGTCCCCTCGGCGCTCTCAACCATCTTTATGCGGTCTCCTTTTTCGTCCGCATGGTTTCCTCTGAGTGCCACTAGAGGTCACAGCATGGGACTCAGAGTCTTTGTTTTGCCCCATAATGGCTCCATTCTCCCTGAGCAGCAAGGCCTTCCAAGCCTGCTAGACATAGGACACCATTGTGACAGAAAGGTAACACGAGGCGGACTCATGGGGAAATGTGTGAACTTGTGGTATTAAGTTAATTACTTTTAAAATGGTGATGAAATATAAACTAGTTCACACATAGCGCCTGGTAAACCAAAAAGTAGTCTGACCAATTGCAATAGAAGATCAAACAGTGTCCAAATATGATGTGTGTTAGAGAGGAAGACATTGGGCTTCATTGATTTATTTTAGACTCTGACATTTGACCATATAATGGTTTAACTGGAATCAATAAGCGGACCACAAAGCGCTCATTCAAAGTCAGGCTCTCTTGAAGCAAAATAAAAAGTCAAGAGAAAATCTTGTTAGTGTCCAATGACCGAAATTAGGGTAAAAAGAAAAAAGGGCTACTGAGTGATATGTTACTATATTTTTATATTTTGTAAGATAGAGAAATCAAATCACGTGTATTTGTGTATAAATCTAGAGAACAATAGATTACCTGCACTTTTAGTTTTACTTGTAGGTTAGGTTAATGATCTCTATTTACTGAGTAACATACAACAATTACGTCATGTAGTTTGTTAGAGGGAATGCATAGAATTTGACCTAACTCCATAACTATTTAAGCTTCACATTTCTCACTATAAAACAAACCAAACAGCAAGAGGTCACAAACTCTCAAACTCTTCCCTGCAGGAAGCGTGCTGGTGCAGGTGTTTCATATCCAAACCAACCAGGTGGCCTTTCGCTGCATTCGTGTCCTATTGGACAAAGGCCAGCTGGGGCAAAGTGCTCCAGGGACAACCAATAGCAATCTGTATCAAGTAAACGTATAGATACCTTTGTGGAAGTACACATTCACATTTGAACACTTCCACAATGCAACCCTGACTGAATCAAACCCAACATGGAGGAAAAGATCACAGTAAAGAGACCAAAGCCCTCAACAATGAGCTTCCTGTGTCGGCCAATCCATTTTCTAACCTCTTATCCAGGGTTCATGGGGCTGGAGTCATGCTTATTGGGCAAGGGAAGCCAACCCATCACAAAACATTTAGACTTAAACTCAAGTGTCCTCAGACACAAATATAGAGATTATATTTAAACTCTTCTTGCGACACTGCTGACCACCAAGCCGCCGTGCCGCCCTGAGCCCCCCCTGTAGTTTTATTATTTCCTGCAACAAGGTTTGGTCCCTCATTTTAAGTTGGCTAGAGTTGATGTGAAGATTATAGTCTTGAGCTCCTTTTTGTTTGAAAATATTTTATTTTGCCTTTGTCTCATTCTATCAATATGACTTTTTGACTTGCTTTAGTAAATTATCTTAGAGTATTAAAGTATATCCTCAAAGTGGAAATACACTATAATATAACCTCCACTAAACCATATTGTCCAGACTCTAAATGACCACATCCTAAATGTGTGTCTTGTCTTTCAGTAAAAAATCCAACATTGACGTTGTCACTGATGGGAAGCAGAAAGATGGAGGCAGGGACAGGTTATGAAAATCTGCGAGAGACTAAAGAAGGAAAGAAAACGTTCCAATGGGCTCTCATTTTTTCCATGTCAAGTAATTCATAGGCAGGACATACAAATTACAGAGCCTTGTGTCTAAGTAGAAGTTGTAACAAATGAGGCACATTTGACTGTTAAAGAGAAACAAATATTTAAGGTGTGGAACGTTCCAGTTGAAGGAGAGGTAGTGGATAGACAGAGAAGACAAAGATCTGGCACAAAGCAAAGAATAAAGGCAGGAGGGACTGTTCCTGACTGTTTGTCCCAAGCAGAAAACGTGAGTGAGCTGTAATCGGATCTCAGCTGTGATGAGATCATACACGAGGCCTCGGAGCGAGCCGTCCACCCACAGACCCTCAGCCCCACTGCAGCCTCTGTGGCTCGCTGCAGACTGAATATCAAATGTAGCTTTTCTATAGTACCAATTGAGGTGAAATAAAAAAGAACTACTAAAAATGTTTGAGGCATTGTGTTACGTAAATGTGATTGAAAAAAGGTGGTCCATATTTTACACTGTACTTTAGTATATCAGCGTGTTACTTTAGTGAAAACTGTGCATCTCAAATTTGGGAATCTTTTTTTCTTGTTGGATGAACGGAAAGACTTGTGTTCATTTTTGAAAAAACATTCCTACTTCAAAGTGCTGAAAAAGTCAACATTTTAGAGATATATGACTTTTACAGTTACATAGAAACATAGTAATGCTGGCTGTTATCATAATAAATGATCAAATGCCTGTAGGTGTGTATATCTTTAACAATGAAGATGGTCAAGTAGGGGGTTTAGTTGGAAAGAACAAAACAAAAACGGATGTTAAATGTGAAGAAAAAAGTATATTCAATTTCAATTTTCAATTTTCTCAGAAGACTGACCATTTATGGCTGTCAGAGTTTATGACCCTCATTATTAAGACAGGACAGAGATCAACAGGGCGCCTGTCTCATTGATTAAAGCGAGTGAATGAGCTGCTTGTGTGTGCCCGGGTTGCATAGCTTTGTGTTGAGTGTATGACAGCTGCGCATACAGAGCAGCTAGGCAGAAGTCACAGTTGACCTGGAGGTTTCACACTTCACATTTACCCTGGAGAACTTCAGTTTTCTGTGTTGATCAGGATACCACACCATTTCTTCATTTTCCGGTAATTCATAAACATGTCCTCTTCTTTTACATTCCCCAGACCTGCTCAGATGGACTTGAGATAACGTCACCAGAAGTTTCACCCTTGTCCCGAACTCCAGCCTCCCTCAATCACCCATAATGGCAGACCTCAGCGGGCTGAGCACCGAGGGGGCCGGGACAGGCTCGGTCGAGGTCGACGCCTGCAGTTTGGAGATAGAGAGGAAGTATGATGTCATCCCTGCCGTCATATGCTCCATGTGTTGCCTGTTCGGCATCATCTACTGCTTCTTTGGTGAGGATCCCCATAGACTATGACATCAGGGAGGGTCAAACTAAATGTTTTTGGGATGAAATAACACACCATCAAAATGCCACGTGTAGCTTCATAGTTCTGCCTTATAGGTCACCTATTGTGCAAAATCCACTTTTTCCTTTCTCCTCTACATCAACATGTGTCCTCTCTGTGTAAAGACATTCTGAAAGTTTCAGGATAAAAGATTCTCTCACTTTTTGTCCTGATCCATTTATATAAAAACCCATCTGAAAATGAGCTGATCAGATTTTGGCCACTTTATGATGTCATAACGATTTTATGGCTTATGTAACCATTAGCCAATCACCAACCAAGGTAACCCCCCCCCCCCACCTTATCACCTGAATCTTCTCCTGAGCACCATTGTGTTTTTTTAATCAAATATCTCTGAGGGGCGTTGCAACATCGTTGCTTGCTTTAAAAGAAGCACAATTCATTATGTCAAACCTTGGAAAGTATCTAGATATCCCTGCCCTAATGCCAAAGTAACTGGCAACTGAATATGTTTTTGCCGATTGATGTNTCTTTTTAACCAAATATCTCTCAGAGGGGCGTGGGGAGTGGCTCCTTATTTTCATCTAAAGTAACAGACAGAGAATCAGCACTTTTGAAACAGACGGGTTTATGGGATGCTGCAATGATCTGTTTGGTATTTGGAGCCAAACACTTCAGAGACATGTTTTGTATATATCTGAGAACTATAATGAGGAAAAACAGTATAATAGGGGACCGTTAAAATATATCAAATCAATTTGGATAAACGTGTGCTTTCACACAAAAACATTCTCACTTTTTGTGTCCAGAGTTGCTTTGTTGAGCTTGAACCTTTCACATTTATATTAAAGGATAAATGTTTATCCTCTGATTTTACATCTCCTTATTCCTCATTGTAACTATTTCCGGTTTCTCCTCCTCTAGGTTACCGCTGTTTCAAGGCGGTCATGTTCCTGTCTGGTCTGATGTTCGGCTCCGTCGTCATCTTCTTGCTGTGCTACAAGGAGCACGTGCTGGACACGCAGCTGAGCGTGGAGGCCAGCGCCGGGATTGGCCTCGGCATCGGCCTGCTGTGCGGCCTGGTCACTATGCTGGTGCGAAGCGTCGGCCTCTTCATGACCGGCCTGCTTCTGGGCCTCCTATTGGCTCTCGCCGCCCTACTGGTCACTCACCAGTTCTACACTCCAACCACAGTCTGGGTCCCACTGGGTTCCCTTCTAGGGGCGGGCATGCTGTTTGCTGTGCTGACACTGCAGTGGCAGAAGCTCTTCACCATGATCTCCACGGCGGTGTTCGGGGCAGCCATCATGACAGTGTGTGCTGATTACTTCGTGGAGATGCTGGTGTTGGCTAATCATGTGTACGAATGCTTGCGCCTTACAACCGGGCCACCTCTGTGCTGGTACAGCTGGGTCATTCTGGGCATCTGGCCCGCCCTCAGCCTCATAGGATTACTGGTCCAGTGGAAATTGACAGATGACAGCTTCTCGCACACTGACGGTAAGGAGGAAATATCATGTGCCTTTGAGTTCTAAATGTCAACTTTCAAAAATTGCACTTAAAAACAGAGGAATAAATGTGTCTTCACAAATATCTGGCAACTTACTCCAACTAGGTGAAACAGTAACACGTATTCACAGAGCAGGAACAGCCAATGAGAGACCTAGCTCTGCCCCTTTTCAACTTTCTTAGAAAAATCCCAATTTCTTGCCAATTGATAAATATGGGCACAGATGTTTTAAGTTAGTATTTAACAAACACACATTTTCAACTTGTGCTTCTCACAGTTTTTGTCAGTTTTTATTTAAACCATGATGTGATGTTACAAAAATGCCTTTGATTTTTCCTTTCTTCTTGTAGTGGTTATCAGTCGGAGACAGAAGAGAGTCCAGCTAATGCGGATTCGAGAGAAGGACGCCAAGAAGCGACAGCAGGCAGGTGGGCAGGAAGGCACGTACCGCCGTAAACCCACCCCAGTGAAACGTTACGCTGGGGATCTACTGGCACCGGTCAGTGTCACCCAACATGGCGTGTGCTGTAGATACTCATTAGTTTGTTTGTATGGCATCAGTTTTATCTCACCAGTAAGCCTAGGTCTGTCATGACACTAACGAAAAACAATAATATTGTTAACCACATTTATTCTTGGCACAATATAGCCTCCAATTAAAGCAGTTATCGTCACAGGCCTAAGCCTAATTAATGCCATGAAATTCTTGCTGATGTCCCTTTTTGTGTGTACCTGGCTCATCTCTCCCTGTGTGGCTTTTCTCAGAGCTACCTGCAAAGTCTGCGGGACAGACAGATGGGCACCGGCACTTCCCTTAGCAGCATCGGCACTTCCAACCACACCATGATTGACTTTGACTACGACACCGGGTCCACTGCGCCCCTCACAGCTACAACCCCAGTCGTCAGGGTCTGAGCCAAACAGAGAAAAGAAGGGACTACTTAAAGCTCTGCGGTTCTCTAACTGTGTCTTCCTAACCTACAAACAGCTCCCCTCGTGCTCTTAAATGGATTTGAAACTAGGATGTGCGTCTGTTCTGTCAAAGAGAATGCTGCTTTTTGGGGAGAAGTAAGAGGTGTTTGATGAAAGCTATAATATAACCACTGTGTTTCTCAGAGAAACACTTAAGCACAGACACTAACAAAGTAGGGTCCTACATTTCCTTTTATCGTGTATTAAATACATAAACAGCAAGTACGAGCCTCGTATGTTATTCTGTTTTGGTAGTGAATAATACAAAACAATATGTTTGACGTTACACGTACTGTTCTTAAGAAGTTAGTCATTGCCCTGAAGTGTTGTGTTAAGACCTGTCTAACTGTGTGCTTGTAGAAGTTGTGAAAGTTTATCATTAAAATGTATTTTTTAGAGTTTTTTAAAGAGAATGAATATGACATGCAAATAGATACATGGAGTATGACCTGGAGGGTAAGCTGAAAGGTGCAAATAAATAATAGTTTGCATTTTCTGTCAGAATACAGTAGGTGAATAATTTAGACTGTGTGTGTTTGTGAAGTAAACATTTTATAATTTAATTTATGTAAAGTACATGGTAAGGTTTAAAAAAGGACAAAAAACAAAGCATGTTTGTTGTTAATTTGTAGATTTTTAAAAATAATTATCCATTGTGTTGTTTGAATTCTGAAGGGACAATGCACTTGTTACCTGAATCTGTACATACCTGTTGATAGAAATAAATACATGTGTTTGATACAAAACTGTTTTTTAGTTATTGATCGAGTCACTGTTTGTCTTTTTGAGCTCTTAGCAACACATTATTCAACAGAATTTCTCATGGGCAATAAAGAGGCCATGTGGAGGATTTCCTACCATGCAACTGGTTGGGTTGCCATGGAGCCTCCAAATGTTTTTTGCATACAACACAATGTGAGCCTTTCATCAAAATGAACGATAAATATTTTGCTATCCTTTTTACGGGAATGTTGAGCCTATTTTCTGGTGACAGGGAACTGCAATTGAAAAGGGCAATCATAAGAACAGACAGTGTCTTGTTTAATTGTAAAAAAATGTAACATTCTGGCTTTAAAAAAAAATCAGGACACATGTATGTCACATTATTTCTCACAAAGGGTTGTGACTCATAAGATATTGGAGGTGATTTTAAGGAGCGATTAATAACTTTTTTAAGTGTGCATGAATGGTTACACAAAATGTCTGTAAAGAAAGTGCACACTCCCATCATCATATTACATCTTACTGAAGAATATTAACACACATAATTCAACACACATGTTGTAGAGAAAAACAGAAGGCCTCCCTTGATTTCGCCCTGAGATCATACAAAAGATTACATAATATTGGCACAAACACACATTTGTACTCATGAAGTCAGCCTCACAAAAATCACTGCAGAGGTTACGAGAAGCCTGGTTTAAATCAGGTCCAGTGAAATAAAATCAATTCTCAAATTCCCTTTAGCTTTTGTTTCCTTTACCAACAAAATTACGATTTGTATCAAATACTCACCCTGTGTTACCTTGAAAAAACCTAATCCAAAAACATGGCCCTGTTAACAACAGCATTAACATCTGCTTTTACTTCACAAACACGTGGCATTGTTGAAAATACATTGGGAAGTATGAGGCAATCCACGCAATAAATTAGACTTTTTTTTTGTAGGAGTTTGTAAATGGATCTGATATAGTTTTGCACTTAGTTGAATTCATCAATAATTTATTCCTTTTTGATGATATGTCACTGTGAAGACATTCGAGGAAAAAGTTTCTTAAATAATTGGAGGTAACAGGTTGAGTATTTGAGATACAAAAAGTAATTTAGTGGGGAATAGATCTTCCACGTGGTTGGTGACAATTCACAATGTGGTTGTGTGGAGCCAACCTCTTGCTACACGCTGCCCCCTGATGGTCGCCCCCTAGCACCGCATCCAGCGCTCCCTCTTGCTCAGAGGGTATCCTCTGTCGACCCCCAGCCGGTCATTCACTCTCCAGTACTGGTCTCCCTTAAAGAAGAAGATCTTGCCGTTGGTCCAGGTGAGAGCTGCATCTGGATCTGACGGCACCCCGGAGAAGAGCATGGAGAGCGGTTTGGGATAGATTCCCAGGTCAGTGAACTTCAGCTCATCCCACTGCCAGTACTCTGAGCCCTGCACAGGCAGACAACAAAGACACACACACTGAGGATTTCTGCAAATAAAATAACATATTGGGATGCACTAACATGTTTAAAGTCTGCTAATGATACCTTGATGAAGACCATCTTCTTGTTCTTCTCCAGGTACAGGGCTGCGTTGATGTTCGGAGGGATCCGTTTCACCTGTTTGGGGTAGCCGTCATCCAGCATGAACATGGTATACCTCCACACTTTATCACCTGCGACCAGGAGACAAACATTCACACAGTTGGACTCACAACTGGAGAACAGAAGAAGAGCACACAACCAGGCGTGGTAAAGAAATAGATTCACTTGTACTGTATTACAATCTTGAGGTACTTGTACTTTACTTGTGTATTTCAATGTTATACTCCTTTTTCCTTTTTTTTTTTTTGACTACATTTATTTTAAAGCTGAAGTTAATAGCTGTGATGCAGAATTATATTATTAATACAAAATAAGACAAAATAAATACGAGAGAATGTATAAATATACTACCGTGCCTTATAACAAGTAGTTATAGTTGGGCTATGTTTACAAGATGCAACATTGAGAGACACAAACATCAATAGACAGAATCCAGTAACAATATGTTGTTCTGAAATAAGCCATTCTGCAGAAGAAAAACTCTCACTTTTGGCACTCTAAGTATATGTGATGAAAATATGTTTTTGTACTTTTATTCAGAATTCAGGACTTTTAATATAACGGAGTATTTCTTAATTGTGCAATTACTGCATTTAATTAAGTTAGATATAGATGTTTCTTCTCCAACTGACACACAACAGAAGCACTGGACAGCTGTACCTTTGAAAAAGTACGTCTTGTTGGTCCTCTGAGAGTGCACCGCAGCGCTCAGGTCTCCAGGCAGGACCTTCCACAACCTGTTGATCTGGATCGGTGTGTTGTGTCCCAGATCAGAGATCGTCCAGACGTAGTCACCACTGAAGGCAAACGTTTTCCGCCATGGACCTGATCAAACATTCAGAGAGGTACTTAAGTATTTGTCTCAGGTTTTGTAAACCTACTAAAACAATATTTGTATGATGGTACATACCTTTATAAAAAAAAAGGAAAAATGTACTCGTCTTCACACAACAGAAGATAGACAAATATTGAAAACTTGTTATGTAAAATTAATTGAAGTTTAACAAATCACCGTTTTATTTTTTAAAGTTTTTAGACTGTTCCTCAAAGGACCTGTCATCTCATATTCCTTTCAATCTTATATTATTTAATTTGTTTGAACCTTTACTGTAGATCATGAATGTGGCGGTCTATTCCCTGTAAACGTGGTGTGTTGTGGTCTAAGATAAAGTCAGGCTACAATGGTGGTGCGTTTCCTGTGTTTACTCTCAATTAATCCATAACTTACCCAACATGATAGCGTCCAGTGCGGCAGTGCAGGGGTCAGGGATGATCTCAGTGTCATGGCTGCTCTCCGTGGGAAGCAGACTGTTCGGCAGTATTGGACTGGCCAAAGTGCTAGTGATGCGTTTGCCTATAAAACAGAGAAAATGTGTCAATGCAAAGTAGACATCAATATTTGTGTGAAATATATTTGGCTGCAGAGAAGAAATGTAGAACAAAAAAGGTTACCGCCTGAATTGCCTTTATTTATAAATAATGAAGGATATCTATGTCATAGACTGATTAACTTTGAGGATCCAGCTGCAGATTTAATTAATATTGGGCTTAATGTATACCATACTTTAGTGTAATTGAACCCGGATATTTTAATATATAATTTTTTTAGGGTGTGAATAATTATTAATAATGATGATTTTATTAGTCATGTTGAGTTAATCCATAAAAAAATAAAATTAATTTACCCTTTTTTTTTCGCCCAGTATTTGCTATTTTCTCTTATATATTTGTTACTGATTCATGCCAATTCATAAATACTGACACAAACAATCCAGTAGGCCTTCTTGATTCACTCACCATATAACAGCTGGATCCCCTGCACATCATCTGTATGAAGCCTGAAGTTGGCACGGTAACCGGAGTAGACTGGAGCCATCAGGGCGCCTCTGAACTGAGAGTGTCCCAGGCCGAGGGCGTGGCCGATCTCATGAGCAGCCACAATACGCAGATTAGTGCCATAATACGATCTCTCAGTCCAGAACTCATCCTCATCAAAATGCACAATACCAGACTGTGGTGACTCAGCATGGGCCAGCACATGACCTGCAAGTGATACAAATAAACAATTTAAAAGAATGTCACCCTTACAATGTCACTTGTATATCAATAACCCACCTCTAATTCCCTTGAATTATTGATAAAAAACATTGTTTTCCTTGCATGAATCCAAATTGCGGACCATATCTAACAACAACAAAACTCATTAAAGTCTTATTTTTGTCTTCCTGCCATATGCTCAATTCTTCCTTAACACACACATTTTCAGTAAAAACTTTTATGCTGAAGTGTGTTAAACAGTTAGATTTGAGCAAAGAATGCATGCGTTTGGGAAAAAGCGTGTTTACTACTGGACAAAAAAAGACTTCAATTCTGTTGCACAAGCAGTGTGAGAGTTTGCTAACAGATGTTTGATGAAGTGTTGATGTTGTTAACTGTGACCCCCATTGACCTCAATTCAGCAAGAACTTTCAAAAAAATATATATTCTTGGTTTAAAGAGAAGGCATGCTGGCCAGACAAAGTTTTCTTCAACCCTTCAAGTAAGTTATTGATAAGCAATTATAATATGTGAACAAAGATTCCTTTAAAAGGATATTTCAAAATGACCATCTGTTTCTGTGTTACAGGGGACAGCAGGGCAAATAGTAGCTATGTTTCTAAATTTAGAAAACATTTTTTACCACGGCCATCAAACGGGAAGGGGCAGAATCCATCTTTCTTATGGAAGGAGATCTTGATGTCCGCTCTGCCATAGCTGATCTCTCTGAAGATCAAAGCAGCGACATCACTCCAGTACTTAAAGGCAGAGCGGACGGCCATCTTCACCTCGGTTTTCTTCATGTCAGGCGTGTAGTTGTAGATACGGTATGTCAGGCTCCTTTTTCTCCAGCGACCTACAAGAGATGAATACTATATTTCTATGTGACCACGACCAAACTGCCTACTTAAGTAAACATATTCTACATTAGTCACTGAGAATACAAATGAAAACATAGTCATTTGGAACATTGTCACTTGATTTTGAAGTTTGTGGTTTCAAAAGTGCTGATTCTCTGTCTGTAGCTTTAAATGCTAATGAGCTGCTGCTAGCCTCCATCTGCGAAATA